GGAGAAAAAGCTTGAGACCATATATGGATCTGTTAAGATAATAAACTTTATTTTCTTGATCTTTTGAGATAAACCTAATAGGTTGATTCATGTATATTTCTTCCTTAAGTGTACAATTGAGTAAAATAGTTTTAACATCCATTTGAAATAACTTTAAGTCCAAATTGGCAACCAGGGCTAGAAGGAGGCAAATAGAAGCAAATCTCACTACAGGAGAAAAAGCTTCTTCATAGTCTACACCCTAAATTTGTGTAAAACATTTCGCCACTAGTCGGACCTTAAACTTTTCAATTGATCCATCTACTCCACGTTTTATTTTGAAAACCCATTTGTTTCCAATTGATTTACATCGAGGCAAGAGATCAACTAGTTCTCAAACCTTATTTATCGTTATTGAGTCCATCTCATCCCTCATGGTATTAATCCACTCTTTACTGTTTGGTAAATTCACAAACTCCTTAAAAGAGGTGAGTTCCTCAAATTTTAAAGGAGTGCATAAGAACATTTCTCATTCGATTTGGAAATATCGTCAAATAATTTTTCTACGTTCGCTCCTTCAGATTCTAGGATCTTCATCACTTGTATGACTAGATGATAAATCTCTCTCATTGTCCATTGGCATGAGATTTGAAACTTGAAAACTAAGCTCACATTTCAAGTTCGGATCTTGAGACTAACCCTATTTCTGGTGAATTATCATTTATAAGTAAGTTTTCACCATTTAAAATAGTAGGATCACTCCCACTATCTCTTTTATTTGATGGAACATCACTATTTTAGTGACTTGGCAGGTTTTCAACACTTTTTTCTCACTAATAGATAATTGCATGTCCTCATGTAACTCATACAGTTCAAGATTCTTTTTTATTTTACTAATGCTTGAGAACTCATCCTTAAGGAAATCAACATTGTGGGAGTCTATTTCAGTCATGCCACCAATCGGGTGTTATCCAAATATTACATATCCTTTTAAATATTCAGGATATATGATGAATACCATCTTAGTTGCTCTTGGATCTAGTTTTTCGTGTTTGTGGGTTGGGTTATACACATAGTCTGTCGACCCCCAACGACGTAAATGATCAAAAATGAGTTTCTTACTATTCAATAACTCATATGGAGTGACGAGTATACTTTTACTTGATACACGGTTAAGGATATAGGTTGTAGTAAGCAACACATCTCCACAAACATTATTAGAGAGGTTAGCATGTGTCATCATCGATCTAACCATGTCTAGTAATGTACGATTCATTTGCTCTACAACACCATTTTGTTGTGGAGTATGAAAAATTTTAAGTTGCCTACGTATACTATTTTTCTTACAATATTTTTTGAACATATCAAAAAGGTATTCACGATTACGATCGGTTCGTAGAGTCTTTACCCTTCGATCCATTTGATTTTCTACTTCCGCTATAAAACGTTTGAACATATCTAATACTTAATAGCAGTAAAAAATTATATACACATATTCATATCATGAATAATCATTTAAAAAAGTGAGAAAGTATATGGAACCATGACATGTTTTGATATTTAAATGCTTGTAAATATCAGAATTGATTAATTCTAAAGGACTTGACGCCCTTGAAACCTTACTTACTTTATTAGCTAAGCATGAGTCATATTTAGGCAACTTAATCTTAGTAAACTGATCTAAAAGACTTTCTTTAACTAGTCTACTCATTCGGTCTTGGCTAATATGACCAAGTCTAACATGTCACTTAACATATTTAGAATCACAATCAAAGTGAGAAACATAAGCAAACATAAAATTATTATAAAT